GAAGTTCCCTGGCCACTCTTGTGGCTGGTCTGCCTGTTCAGAGAGGTTCTCCAGGGCCAGGTTCAAACCCTACAGCTTTTCCTGGGAGCCTGGCAGTGCCAGCTCAATCCTGCACGATGCTGGGCTCCTGCCTCCTGCCTCAATCTCTCACTCCCTGCTCTGCCACTGTCCCTTCATCGGCCCAGCCAGTGCAGGCCTCTGTCCCACCCCAGGCATTGCTGGTGCACTGAGGGTGCAGGAAAGAGGGTTACGAAAAATAATAACTACAAGAATAATAATAAACAATTTTTTTAATATTTCCTCTATAGTCCAGACACCTTGATAATACCGATCACTGAATAACTTTTATTTTATTTCTTTTGATACGCAAATTATAGAAGACTTTAATATATCACTCGCAGGACATGATAGGTCAAGTGAACACAAAACAAGAAATGTAAGCAACATAATATGGTAGATTCTATTGATATCAGTGAATAACTTTTAAATTCTCAGAATAACCCAGTTTGGTCGGCCCTTTTACAATGCTCATTTCACGGTTGAGAAAACTGAACTCTGAAGAATTTAGAATGTTGCTCCTAGTCCCACAACTAGTATGTGTGAGAGCCAAGATTGGAACCCAATCTGCCTACCTCCAAAGCCAAAGTTCTGAGAAGAGGGGTCACTTGCTTCTCATTAAAGGCTCGGGTTGATGGAAATAGTGAGAGGTCCCAAGCTCATCAGAGTCCAGTGGAGCTGGGTTGGTACACTTGATACAGGGCTGGAAATGCACAGTCTTCCATGCTCAAGGTGAAATGCCATCCTCTGGTCACAGTGATACAGGCTCAAATGAAAGCCAAATTCAATAAAATTCAATATTTAGGTCATGTACCATATGTTCCTGCTTCTGTTCTGTGGGATCTTTCAAAGCCATTCTGCAAACAACCAAGAGAAGCCCAGATGAATGACCCCTGCCCTGTTCTCTGGAGAAGGTTTGTGTCCCCACCAGGCCAAGTAAAGCTCCCTCAAAATGGGGCTTTCTCTTTCCTACCTCTTCTTGCAGGCCAATGAGTGCATCGACTGGGCCTCCAGAACCAGCTGGTGGTGAGCCGCATGAGGGAATCCCCAGGAACCATTAGAAATTAGATGATAGATTCTGGAAAGATTCCTATTTCTGAGAGGGATATTTCTAGAAGGGCTGGAATTAAGAAGGAGCCGGACAACTGGGCCTTCCAAAGAAGCATAACCAGAGAACAATTCAGGAGGATGGACCAGTGTGTTGGGGTAGCAGGGGGAACGGGCCTCTGACCACAGATCCCAGGAGAAGGGTTACGTGCCACACCTAAAACTTCAGCTGATTTGAGAAGTTTTCCCCACTCCAGGGACTAGACCTTTTTCACTGATTGTTGTTTTCCGGAGACCTGTGTTTTATCCTCACACTTGGGCTCAGTCTGTGAGAAGAAAGGGAGTCTGGTGGTCTCTTGGTGATCTCCAAAGAGGAGCCCCATCTCACCTGTGACCAGGATGGAGGACAAAGCCCACACTCGCTAGAGCTGAAGGAGAGTTATTGAGGACATGTATTTTCCAGTGTTCTAGCCCAATGTCTCTTACCCATACTCAATGGGGCATGAAAGAAGGGCGTTTTCCCAGGGATCTGGTGAAACTTCTTGGCCTTAATGTAAACGCAGGGGATACTGTCTTTTTCCTTTCCCACTTCCCTCCCTTGGCGCAGAAGACAGGAAGCTCTGCTATTTGGCACGTACAGGGGAGAGTGCCTTCTGAGCATGTGGCTCTGCCCGCTCCTCTCAGACTGTGTGTGGGTCGTGCAGCCTGAAATCTGAGTGCATTCTCCTTCTGACACTGCCCTCCTCCTAGAAGCACCCCAGATCCTGCTTTCTGGACATCTCCATACAAGTGTGGGCTAGTAACTCTGGGAATGACTTTGTGCTCTGCAGATCAAAACACTCCCTTGGGGGGCTTCCCTGGTGGTGCAGTGGTTGAGGGTCCGCCTGCCGATGCAGGGGACGCGGGTTCGTGCCCCGGTCCGGGAGGATCCCACATGCCGCGGAGCGGCTGGGCCCGTGAGCCATGGCCGCTGAGCCTGTGCGTCCGGAGCCTGTGCTCCGCAACGGGAGAGGCCACGACAGTGAGAGGCCCGCGTACCGCAAAAAAATAAAAAAACTAACAATTTTTAAGGGGCCAGAGTGTTAGGAAAGAATCCAGAAGAGAACACAGAGTAGGAAAGTGGAGAAAATTATGTGATTTCATCTATGCTGTAAGAAGCATTTGGAAGTCAGTAAAGCGATGATTGCAATCTTCATTATTAGTGCTGCTATTAACTAACATCTCTGGAATGCCAGTCTGCTCATGTCAATCTTACATGTTTCCACCAAGGTCTGTATGTAAATATTTGACAAGTATTCTTCAGTTGTTATGTACAGTATTCTATATATGTCCATGAGGTCAGATGTGTTAATCCTATTTAGCAAATGTTTTCTATCCACAGTGATTTTTTGTTGTCGTTTTGTTGTAAGAGGTACATTAAGATATCCTACTATGTCATAGATTTATTATTTTGATCTCAGCTTTGGCATTATATATTTTGAAGCCATGTTATTAGGTGCATATGTATTTAGAATTTCTATATCTCCCCAGTAAGCTGAGGCATTTACATCTAAGGAATGACCCTCTTTAACTCTAGGAATCTTAACTGCGTTACAGTCTACTTTGTCAGATACAGCAGGCTTCTTCTGATTACTATGTGTGTGACATGTCTTTTTCCATTCTTTTCCTTTCGATCTTCTCCACCTTTATGTTTTAGATTTATCTCTTGCAAACAGCATGTAGTTGGGTTCCGCCTGCTTTGCTTAATCCACCTTATAAACCATTTACTTCAGTTCTAAAACACCATGGATTGTAAAACACATCAATATTTTATATACCAATCAGAAAGAGAAACTCTACCTATTAAACCTCGACACAACATCTTAACAATATCCCTATGAAGTGCACAAATCCGTCACACCAGCTTCTTCCTGCTTCCAAATTTCTTCTATCAGTTCCAAGGGATTTGGCAACTTCTCCTGTTTCACGCTGCACGTATCTCAGAAATAAAATGTAGCACAGCTTCACTACTTGTGGGTAGCTCCTTCTTTAGGTCTCAGAAGCCCTTGGTATTTGCCACCCCAAAAATGGAATTCACTACAAATTTTCACCCTACTACTGTGTTTCTGTGCCAAGTTAGAGAGCATCTTTTTGAAGACGCTTTAAACAGGGATTAAATTCAATACATGTAATAACAATGATGCACAAAACTCAGCAGGTGACCAAAAGAACAGCTCTGGCAAGTACCACAACGTGCTGAGAGAGCTTGTGTGATGCCACAGCCTGTCACATGCTTCCCGGTTTCAGAAATGTAAAACTATGAGTGAATGTGTGTTTTAAAATCAATGAAATAGAGCATTTGGATTTAAAATCTACCGTTGTTACGTTGCTTTCTAGTCATTATTCCTATTTTGTTTCTTCGCCCCCTTCTTGCTTTCTTCTGGTTTGAATATCTTTTCTCATTCCATTACTCTCCTTACATAGCTTGAAACTTATGCGTTATTTTCTATTCTTTTAGTGCTTATCCTAGAAGTCATCCATGCATCCTTAACTTGTGAAAGACTAATGCTAATGAATAGCTTTGTTCTCCTCCCAGACCAATCAAGGATCACAGAACACCTGCCTTTACCTCAACCCCTCCAACTTATATGCTTCTACTGTCATATATTTTAATTACATATACTTTCAAAACTCTGTAAGATTTTATTATTTTTTATTATTATTATTTCATAGCATGGTGTTCATTTACATTGGCCCACATATTTAGTACTTTCTCCTTTTTTATTTTATTTTTTTGGCTGCTTTGGGTCTTCGTTGCTGCGCTCGGGCTTTCTCTAGTTGCAGAGAGCGGGGGCTACTCTTCGTTGTGGTGCGTGGGTTTCTCATTGCAGCGGCTTCTCTTGTTGCATAGCACGGGCTCTAGGCACATGGGCTTCAGTAGATGTGGCACGTGGGCTCAGTAGTTGTGGTTCACGGGCTCCAGAGTGCAGACTCAGTAGTTGTGGCGCATGGGCTTAGTTGGTCCGCAGCATGTGGGATCGTCCCGGACCAGGGCTCGAAGCCGTGTCCCCTGCATTGGCAGGTGGATTCTTAACCACTGCGCCACCAGGGAAGTGTGATATTTAGTACTTCCTTCACTCTTCATTTCTTCTTGTATCTATGACCTTTCATCTGGGATCCTTTTCTTTCTGCCTGAAGTACATATTTTAGAAATGCGCTGTCCAATATGGTAGCCATTAGCCACATGTGGCTATTGAAATTTAAAGTGAGTAAAATGGAATAAAATTAAAAATTAAGTTCCTCAGTCTCATTAGCCACATATCAAGTCCTCAGTAGCCACAAGTGGCTAATGGCTACCATACAGCAAACATATAGAGCATTTTCATCATCGCCAGAAGTTCTATCGCATAGTTTCCTTTCTTACAGACCTTATGGTAGAGAACGCCTTCTGGTTTTGTTCAGCTGAAAGTATCCTTATTTCATCTTCATTCCTGAATTGTCAACTTCATCATTACCAGAAGGGAAGCTCTGAGACTTCCCTGGCGGTCCAGTGGTTAAGACTCCGTGCTTCCACTGCAGGGAGCACGGGTTCAGTCCCTGGTTGGGTGAATTAAGATCCCACACGTAGTGTGGTGCAGCCAAAACAAAAAGAAGAAGAAAAATGGAAGCTCCAGTTTCTACTCTGCATATATTGAGTTTCTTCTGCAAGTGCCACTGTCCTACCATTCGCCTCAAGGAATATGCAGTCTCTGTTAAAGGGCAATCTTAGAACTGCAAGTGCAATTTGGATTTTTTTTAAGAGAAACAGTCTTATCAGTGGGATTGGGGATACGTGAAATGTCAATACTGCAGCTGGGAATGAATAAAGAATTGAGTGGGCTTTTGTGGGTGAGACTTGGAAGGCAATCATATGTATGGCATTATTTCTGTTGGAAAAAAAGTCGTCTTACGTTGCAAACTCACTCACAGGTGAGCTTTTGGAAGCATGGGGAGCCTGTGGGCTTTGTCCTTTAAGAGGGGCCCGTGCACACAGCGGATAGAGGGGAGATATATATATATATATATATATATATATAAGATATACAAGACGGGCCTAGAGCACCTTGTTATGCCAGAAAGTAAGGAAGGGGGAAAGAGAAAGAAAAGGAAAAAAAGGGGGTGGGAGCAGTTATGGATATATCAAAAGGACACAGGAGAGAACCTAAAGAGCTCCCAGGGGCCAAAGATGGAAAAATTTGAGCAACAACACAGATAATAGAGCATTAGGTTATAACCCAAAGTATGAAGTAAATATCCATGAGTCCATACTGATATAAATAAATAATTAAATAAATAAACAAATCAATGGGGGAGAACAGACAAATCACCCTGCAGAAGAATTCCAAATAATTTAAGTAGATACTTCCTCCCCCAAGGAGGTAGGGCATAACTCCCCACCCCTCGGGTGTGGGTTGCCCAGACTGACTCCCTTCCAAAGACCACAGTGTTGAAAGAGGGGGGAAAGAGAGTAATACTACAGTGGAGAAATCTGACAAACACTTCCTCAGTCAACTGATCAAGGGTCATCTGAACACTGAGACATCGTATTGATCATACGTACCTTCAATATGATGTCATGAGAATGACACTTCACCTCCCCAAAACCTAGAACCCAGTTTAATCATATAAAAAATATGAAGCAAACCCCAACTGAGGGGAAATCTACAAAATACCTCAAAACAAAGTCATTAAAACAAGAAAATCTGAGAAACTGTCGCCATCAAGAGGAGCCGACGGAGATATGATGATGAATTGTTTTGTGGATGGGATCCTGGAACAATAAAGGAACTTAGGTAAAAACTAACAAAATCTAAACAGAGTGTTGATGAAAAAAATTAACGAATAGTCCATCTAAGAAAGAAATGGAAAATTTTATTCGGGCCAACCTGAGGATTATAACCCAGGAGAAAGTCTTTCAGAAAGCTCTCAGGACTGTTCCACCCATTAGAGGTCACATAGCACAGTTATGTAAGTTTTTGAGGCAAAGGATTTTACATCAAAGTAACATATTGACAGTTTACACAGTCCAACAAGGTGAGTAGTGGGTCATCGTGATTGCTTACAGGATTGAGAAAGGAATGTTATCTCCCAAAGAGTTACTTTGCTGGCGCCAGGAGAAAATTGCTTTTTTGTGGGGGGACCTGTAGGCATTCCTGTGTGTTCTAAAAGGATCGAGTTAATGAATAATGTAGACACACTAAAGGGAAGGGGGTAGTGGCTCAAACAGCAGAGAATATTTTATGTTAAGTGTTTCTCTCCTGACTGAGTGAAGTAAGTCAGACGGAGAAAGAGAAATATCATATGATATCACTTATATGTGGAACCTGAAAAAAAAAAAAGCGGTACAAACGAACCTATTTACAAAACAGAAATAGACTCACAGATGTAGAAAACAAACTTACAGTTACCAAGGGGGAAAGGGGAGGGGAGGGATAAACTGGGAGTTTGAGATTGACATATAAACACTACTAT